CGGCGAGACTCTATTCCTTTACTTAGGAGTGAGCACGTCGGCCGTCAGCTCCGTACTCATCAGGGAGGATGACGGGGTACAAAAAGCAATATTCTACGTCAGCAAGACGTTGCGGGAGGCCGAGCTCAGGTACTCCCCCATTGAGAAGATGGTGCTGGCCATCGTCCACACGGTGAAGAAGCTGGGCCACTACTTCCAGGCTCACCCCGTCCACGTCCTCACGCATCAGCCGTTGGGCGCCCTCATGAGGAGTCCAACCAGCTCTCCAAGGATGATCAAATGGGCGATATTCCTGAGCCAGTACCAGATTGAGATCAAGCCGAGGCCATCCATCAAAGGGCAAGCCTTAGCCGACTTCGTCACCGAGTGCACGGCAAGGGAGACGGCCGTTACCACCACAGGAGCTGAACCGGACGAAGCCTGGACCCTCTACACGGACGGGTCCTCGGCCACCAAAGCTTGTGGGGGGTGGCGTCGTCCTCATCTCCCCGGAAGGATTCAGAGCGTACTACGCCATCCGCTTCAACTTCAAAGTATCCAACAATGAGGCCGAGTATGAAGCGCTCCTCAGCGGACTCAGACTAGCCGCTGGCCTTAAAGCACGCCACGTCAGAATCAAATGCGACTCCAAACTCGTAGTGAGCCAGATGGAGGGTTCCTACGAGGCCAAAGAAGGGAGGATGAAGCAATACAAGGAGGCCGCTGCGGAATTACTCAAGGCGTTCGATACCTACGAGATCACTCAGATCCCAAGGGCGGAGAACGCCGAGGCCGACATACTCTCCAAACTTAGCTCCGACACCCCTGAGCACATCTCCAAGATAGCAAAGGTGGAGGAGTTGAGCATGTCAAGCATTCACGCCAGCCCCATACTCTCCATACAGCACCAGCCGGAGGACTGGATCACTGACATCGCAACATACATCACCTCCGGCACGCTACCAGAAGACGAGGAGAGGGCCAAACTAGCCAAGCTCAGGGCCCCAAGCTATGTCATTGAGGATGACAAGCTCTACAAGAGATCATACAACGGCACCCTCCTCCGGTGCCTACACCAGAATGAGGCCGAAGTGGCCATGGAAGAAGTCCACTGCGGCGTATGCTCATCACATCAGGGGCCCTTCAGCATGTCGCGCCGCCTCGTCGTCCAAGGCTACTTCTGGCCGACGATGGCGCGTGATTGTGCTGAGGTCGCCCGCAAATGCAGCGCATGTCAACACTATCAAAGGGCACCTGGCCGACCAGCCGTCAACTACGCCCCGGTCAGCACTGCCATTCCATTTTCCAGATGGGGCATCGACCTCGTCGGCCCGCTACCAAGAGCCGCGGGCAACAACAGATACATCATCGTCGCCATCGACTACTTCACCAAATGGGTCGAGGCCGAACCACTCGCAAGCATCACCGGAGCGCGGTGTCGAAAGTTCGTCTACAAAAACATCCTCATCCGCTTCGGCGTGCCTCAGGAGATCATATCAGACAACGGCACCCAGTTTGAGGCCGAACCATTCCAAAGCCTCCTCCAAGAATGGGGTATCAAGCACCGTTTCTCCTCCGTTGCCTACCCTCAGGCCAACGGGCAAGTTGAGAACGCCAACAGAACCATCTTGGAAGGGCTAAAGAAGAAGCTCGAAGAAGAAGGCGGAAGTTGGGTCGACGAGCTCCCCAACGTCCTATGGTCCTACCGCACTACGCCGAGGAGGGCCACCGGGGAGACGCCATTCTCCTTGTGCTACGGCTTCGAAGCCAAGGCTCCCACTGAAGTCACCCTCCCCAGCCGACGGGTCACACAATACGACCCCGAAGCCAATGAAGAAGCCATGAAGATTGACTTGCACCTCATTGAGGAAAGGCGGGAGATGGCTTACCTTCGGGCAGAAAATTACAGACGACAAGTCAAATCTTATTACGACGCCAAGGTCCGCTCCCGCGAATTCCAAGTGGGGGACTACGTCCTCTGCCGAAGAGAAGCCAGCAAGCCGACGGAAGGAGGAAAGCTCGCCGTCAAATATGAAGGGCCCTACATCGTCAGCGCCGTCATCAAAGCCGGCACCTATAGATTAAAGAACCCTAATGGGTCAGATGTACCACGATTGTGGAATGTACACCATCTGGTGAAATTTTACCAATAACTCGAGAAGTGGTGAAGCGGGCAACGTCCCCCACCCCTCGGCTTATTGGTTGAATAAAACACCCTCGGCCTAGCGCCACTTATTGAATAAAATTCATGTTTCATCCAATCTTTTAAGACTTGAGCAAAAGAAACCCAAGGACCGCATCGGCCTAAGCGGTGCAATCACCCGGGCCCGATGCGACCCAAAGCCGTCGCAATAAACGACGCACCTAAAGCCGTTGCAATAAACAACGCACCTAAAGCCGTCGCAATAAACGACGCACCTAAAGCCGTTGCAATAAACAACGCACCTAAAGCCGTTGCAATAAACAACGCACCCAAGGCCGTTGCGATCCACAACGCGCCTGCAAAGCCGTTGCAGAGACAACGCACCTAAATATCGTATCGGCACAAGCGGTGAAACACCCAAATCGGCCGGCGATATGCAGGACGAAGGACCTGTGTGCATGGTCCGACGTCTTCAAACGGAGAAGCATACCGCGTCGTCCGCGCGGAAACCGCAGGACGACAAGCCTGAATTAAGGCCGAGGTTACAAAAACTCCACCCGTCAGTAAAATTTCGCTCAGGACCACAAAGGGCGGCCGTCAAAAGACGATGCCTTGTCCGGTCCCTCGTCGACGATAGACGTGGAAAGGCCAAAAAAAAAAAAAAAAAAAAAGAAGAAGCCACTGACACCAAGCCGAGGGCGTATTTACTCCCTCGCACTAATTCACGCGAAGAGCGTAGCGGACAAACTACCGCAAATGGACTAAGGGACAGTAACCCTTCGGCCACCTAAAAAAAAAAAGAAGGGAAGCCGACGGACCGCGCACTCGCCGACCTCGAGCAAAAAATAAAATCCCCACAAAAACCAAAGCCTCAAAATCGGCTAAGTACATATCAGGTTTTCACCTAACAGGAATCCGAGGTGCACGCTTCGGCCTCAACCACAGCTTCATAAGAGGGAAACGCTCCGGTTTCGGCTACACGAAACTACATTCAAGTGTTTGGGCGACGGCGGCGCATCGTCTCCGAGTAACAAATCCCAAATGGCGAACCGAGGCAAAATACCTCCACCAAGTCAAGTTTGACTGAAAAATTTTCAGTCACATTCAAAGGAAGCCGAGGCGCTACCAGCCCATATCTTGGTATCGCTTCATCCTTGACAAACCAAAACAAAAGCAGCACACCAAGAATTGACGAGGGACAGCGTCCCCGGTGACAACAAATGGAAAGAGGACCACTACGTCCCAACGGACGGATGTCACAAGATAAACTCTTGGCACTTAGAAAGATTTCAGAACTTTGGGGCCATGCCTAAGACGCAAGGGACGCAGCGCCGCACCAAGCAGAAGTTCCAAACACTTGATAAATTTTTTGAAACAGATGTTCTAAACACAAAGGGTCAGACGAAGGGGCGCATCGTCCCTATTATAAGAAGCAGTGAACACGCGCAACGTCCTCACACACACATGCCAGTGAGGCGAGGGTGCGCCCACATCAACAGAGGACATAATGGAACGCATCGTCTTCAAAGAATGGGGGTCGCTACGTCTCAAGAATGGGGGTCGCTACGTCTTCAAAAATTTTCCAACCAAAGGTACGCGTTACTAGACACATCGTCCCTACGACAAAGGACAACATAACCAAGACGATGCGACCCAAGACGTTGTGCCACCCGCATCGTCCTCATGAGGCACCCGGATGAAGCTTCGCATCGTCTTAAGCAAGCAAGGCATGTTTGGGTGCCCACACTTAGAAAAATTCCAAGAAAAACAATCTACATAAATACATAGACGAGGGGCGCTTCGTCTCAATCAAACCAGGTGTAGACAACTGACACTTGGGAAAAATCGCGAGAATAGAACACATATGAAGACTAAGGCAATGGAGACGAAGCGGTATAAACATTCATACTTGGAACACAGTTGTCATTAATTGATTCAAAATATCCAAGGAGGGCGCTTCGGCCATTACAAGAGAGGGCGCTTTGGCCATTACATGCACTCCAACGCTAAAGTTACAAAAGTAATAAAAAAGCCAAGTACTAAACTACGCTGCCTCATCGGCTTGCTCTTTGCTCTGGCCGACGTCCTCCCCGCCACCACTACTGGTTTCAGCGTCATCATCTTCATCGGCCTTGGAATCGGCAGACCCCTCGAGCAGGTAATCGTCACTTTCGCTCCAGGACGCTTCCCCCTCGTCCGAACTAAGGATTGGAGGCTGCCTCTCCGACGTGGGGAGCTTCATATCCTCATCAGGATTTTTCATCCGCCGGGGTAGACTCAAACCCCTCGGCCTCATCTTCCGGAAGCGACGACGAAGCTTCCTATAAATCAGCCTCTGCATCCTGTACTGGCCGCAGTTGTAGAAGGCTCGCGTCTCGTTCATCCAGAAGTCCTCGCCGGCAGGGTCCTTTGTCACCCAATCAGTGAGCCTCTCGGCCACCACTTCGTAGCAGAAGGGGATCTGATCTTCAGCTTTCCATCCCTCGGCCTTGAAATCAGCAACGGCTTTCTCAGCGGCCTTCTCAGCGTCAGCCTTGAGCCGCTCCGCTTCCTCGGCTCTTTGGATGGCACCGGCAACAGCCTCATCAGCTTTCTTCTGGGCCGCCTCGGCCTCATCAAGACGCAGCTGAAGGAGCTTCATCTCATCCTCCGCAGCCTTAGCCTTGTCCCTCAAGTCTTGGAGGGCCTCGTCGGCCGAAACAGCCTTCTCCTCCACCTTCTTCAGGCGCTCTATCTCAGCCTCCTGCCTCCAATGTTGCTCCCTTAGCATAAGGGCACCCTGGACGAAGCGAAAAGTCAAAATCAAAAAGATGGAAAAACAAAAGGATCAAAGGACAAATCACAAGGAAAAGAAATTACCTGGACGACATAGTCCATCCCTCCATCGTATAGCCGAACATGCTTACCCTGTCGGCTGAGATATTGACGGTCATACTCAGGCATAGCCTGGGCAAGCACATCATCACCGCTTACAGTCTCGTTGAAGAGACCGCCCTTCACCGGGTAGCGCACGGTCACTTCGTACGTTCCCTTGGCAAGGGCCTCCTCTAAACGGGCAGCGGCGGCAGTAGAGGGAGCCACCCGAGAAGCCGAAGCCACTAAAGCCGATGAGGGCGGATCGTGCGGAGGAGGGACTACGGCCGGCTGAACATCCACAGCGGCCTGAGTAGAGGGAACGCCGACCTCGTCATAAGAAGGAGCCTTCTTCGTCCTCTTTAAAACCTGGGTCGGTTTCAGACCCGCCTCAGCCAAAGTTTTCTGGCCTTCATCGGCTCCTCTCTTCTTCTTGGGAGCAGCTTTCTTAACGGCCTCGCCCCCTCCTTGAGAACCGCCAGTAGAGGCCTTCGCTTTCTCAGCGGCCCGAGCGGCCTTGAGCTCCGCATCGGCCTTCTTGGCAGCCCGAGCCATAAAAGATATGCGGTCCATGACGAAGCCTGCACAAAAAGACAAGGGTCAGCGAAACACAAAAAAGACAATACATAAAGATAAAGTAATGGGGTCAAACCTTCGGCCTCGGCCGGCACACCAAGACGGGGCCCGTCGGCTTGCTCATAAGACCCCACAATCTTCGGCCAGAGATCATCATCGACGTCACCAGGACAATAGTATCTCACAAAGCCGAGGGCGGCCATCCGGTACTCAGTAACGTACGTCTTGATGCTCCTCGGCCCCCCCTCAATAAAGGCCTCTACCTGATTGCTTATTTCGGCACTCCAAAGGGGGGTATGCAACTCAAAGAGGCCGCTGTGACCATTAGAAGGAAAGAAGCCACCCTGACCCAAGGTGACGAACACGAATTTGGCCTTCCAGCCATGAATGGACGTAGGGAGATCCGTAAACGACCTCCTCCCACTAATCTGCTGCAGGGTTGCGTAGCCGGCACAATTTTGATGGCTCCCTCGGCCTATCCGGAACAAGTTCATGAACAGGGCAGTCGTCGGCAGAATCTCTAACTCTTTACACCGGATCAAGAAGCCGATGATGAGCGAAAAGCTGTTGGGAGTCAATAGGGCCGGAGGGAGCTCCACCATGTCAAGATACTCCTTGATAAAGGGATGAAGAGGGAACCTCAAACCCTTGGCAAAACTCATTGGGTATACACCAAAATAGCCCAAAGGCGGTTTCAGAACATGATCCGACGGCAAGGGGGCTCTGACACGGCCGTAGGGACCGACGTACAGCTGTGCGACATGATAGTCACCGAGGGTCCCCTCCGGCCGAATGATGTACAAGTTGCTAAGATCTAGCTGAGAAAACCCCTGCGGCACCCCCCTGCGCTGCTTCCGCCGATACGGTTTCTTCGTCTTGGGAGAAGAGGGGCCTTCCCCCGCTACGGACGATATCGGCGGAGGGCAAGGAATATTAGCAGAGGAGGATGCCCCATCCCCTCTCAGGGGCGAGCTAGATATCGCCTCGTCCTCACCAGAATGATGCGCTCCCGCATCGGCACTCATCCTCTCCTCGTCTACGGAGGTACGGTAGTCAGCTGTATTCTCCATCTCAGCTTCGAACGCTTCCACTATCCGAAGATCAACCCCGGGGGACGTGCCTTCGTCGTCAAAAGGCCAATCCGACTCGTCCAAAGAAGCTGTCAAATCAATGGGGGAGGGAACGCTACGGCCGTTAGAGAACGGCATAACACCTACACCTATTCCTAAGGGTGGTTTTTCGGATCAAAGTGGTTTCCCTACAAACACTAGATCTAACCCCCTAGGAAGCAAAGTATAAGAAAATAAAGAAGAAACAGGCAAGAATCTGACCTTAAAGATTTGAAGATCCGAAGGAAGGTTGATGAACACTTGAAGAAACCTCGGGAGCTTTCTCTCTCTAGAAAATTGGGCAGCAATTCGACAAACAGCAAAAGGCAAATGAGGGAATGGCTTCAGAGTTGGGGGTATTTATAGGCACCCCCTCCAACGGTCACTACACGTGGCAACCCCCAATTGGCCACCCCAGCGGCACCTCTTCTAGAACCAATCAACGCCCGTCTTTTCACATTCCACTCTAGGGCAACCGCTGCGGCCCAACAGGCCCCGAGACTAGGGTAGGCACCGGCCTACTCACTCAAAACAAGGAGAAACCCGCTACGGCCCAATTTTACCAAAGGCATGGACGCATCAGCGAAACGCGCTACGGCCCCAAAGCAACCCCAAGAACCACAAGTACCGCTACGTCCACTCACGCGCACATCGTTCGATGATGACCCTGGTATTGCGGCCTTCGTCCAAGGGTTCTCCCACAGGGTTACCTTGGACAGGTTCGCCTAAGGGTTGGACTCACGACTAGCGCAAAGGTATCGTATCGGCTTGGGTACACCATGACTCCCTTGTGCCTCAAGTACTCTTCGGCCAAAGGAGTGGGGGACTGGGGGACTGTATCGGCTACAGAAAAAGGAGAACAGCATAAATGGGAACGCGACGGCCTCAACACACGGAGGATTCGCTACAGAAAACATTCACCTCAATAGCATTGCAGATCGCATCGGCTAAAGAGCCCAAGAAATTAAAAACCCAAAAACAAAGTCCAGCCTGCAACGGCCACATGCGCTGGAGGGACTGTGTCGGCCACAAGAAGAGAGAGCGCAACGGCCTTAATATAAAAGGGTGCGCTACGGCTCACCAATAACAAGACACAATTCACCTCAAAAGCACTGAGGATCGCATCAGCTACAGAGCCCAGAAATTAGAAACCGAAAATGCAAAATCTAGTGCGCAATGGCTACATACACTGGGGGACTGCGTCGGCTCACCGAGGCAAGAACCCACAAGTCAAAACGCTTCGGCTGCATGACAGATCAAAAGCATGCGACTCGCATCGTCCTCATAGACGAGATCAAACATCTTCGCCTCATAGAACTATGTCACCACAACGGCAAGAAGCACGTGGGGATCTCTTCGGCCCCAATAAAATGGTAATAAAACAGGCTAGTTTCTCCATAATTCACATCTACTGGAAAGAGAAAGCGCACCGCATCATCCTCAAAAACACCTCTCTCAGAGAGCGCATCGGCCGCACCAAGGCTATGAATCCTCGAGCGCGCTACGTCTACATCGAATAAGGAAACCGCTTCATCCAAAAACCGAAGTAGAGCCTCTTCGGCCACCAAGCACCGAGAGCTCACGCAACGGCCAGCCAGAAAGGAACAGGTACTCCCTTTCGCTTCGGCTTCACCACAGCTCAGAGAGTGGGGGACTCCTGATAGAGTATATGGACCTGGACCCCACGGCCCGCATACTCAAGTCAACGGCGACCAGAAGAACACCCACGTGGCCCCTTCGGCCAGTGGGTCCGCATCGGCCAGAAACCAAACCGGCCCAGGAATCGCATCTGGACTCCCGGGGGTCGCATCGGCCCATGGACCGCATCGGCCATGAGACCGCATCGGCCAAAGGGTTCCGCATCGGCCAGAGTTCGGCCTGGCAGAATGCATCTCTCTCTACTTTATTTGCTAAGTATTGTACACAGCCCATTAGTGGCCCTATTTCGCCCAAAAGAGGCATGATTATTGTAATGGGCCTCCTAAGCCCATGGCTAGGGGCCCAAATCCACATTTTTACCTATAAATAGACCCCTTGGGGCTAGTTATAGGGGGTTGAGAAATACAATTACTCACTTTCTCTCTCTAGCTCTCACTTCTCTCTAGAATTAATACTCTATCAGCGCCGTTCTTCGATGAAAGTCAAAAAAGGAAAAGGAAACTCTAGCGGTTGCTAAGCCCTAGAGAGAAGATCACGATTATGATATATTCTTTCTAGGTTGAATAAACAAAATGTCTCTTCTACGGTTTTATTTTCGTATACAGAGAGTATTTTTATACTTCCAGTAGAAATATAGGATAAAATCAATTTGATAATTAAAAATAATAATAATAATAAATTAATTAATTAATCAGTTAAAAAAATAATCAATTGGATAATTATTATAGAAAGCATATAATCCATTCCCTTCATGCCTTCGTCCCGTGTCTAAACCCTATGGTTTATGCAGGGCCGAACCTCTCTTGAGACAAAGAGGAAATTGCCTCAGGCCCCAAAAAAATGGTCAATAATAAAGGCCCATGAATAATTGAATTCTAATATTATGTATATACATTTTTTTTCTATTTTATTAAGATAACAACAGTACAAGTAATATTAATAAAAATAATATCATGGAACTATGTGGGATTAATTATTTGATGTAGGCATATAAATTAAATTAGTGCTTACAAATTTTAATATCCAAATTTTACATTATTCAAGGGCCTTTTACCAAAATTCCACTCGGGCCAAAAAATTGTTAGGAACGGCCCTGGGTTTATGTTTGGTTTAGATTATTCCCACATGATACAGTTATCTGTTAGGGAATATGGCCCAACATGGGGAAGGCCCGCATACCTCCCAATGGGCCAACGGGCCTAATAGCCTGATAAGAGAACCTAGACCCGGATAGCGCACGCCGGACGACATAGGCCAAGCGCGATAGGATCCTTAAAGAGTCACCAGGTTACTATCAATGGACACCTAGCTTACTCCTCAAGATATAAGAATTGGCGGGAAAACAAGGAAATAGTGGGAAGTGCATTTAATTCACCATATATGAAAGATTTTATTGTTGGGGGTTAGGCACCTAGGGCTCGCTACATCACAACCACCATCTACCACCTTATAGTGTAAATACTTGTATTTATTTCATTGTAAAAGATTGACAACTTGGATTCAATAGCTTAGCTTCTCTCTAGTTCTTATGTATCCTCTTAGTGTAGAATAGAGGGGCGGGGCTCAGACTCGATAAGAGTGTGCTATAATTATTCTAAGTCATCACTGGAACTAGACTCACTTTACCTCGTACTCTTTCTTGCTATTGTTTTGCCTTCATATCTACTTGATCCACCCACAATAGGTATGATTTATTAATAGAACTTTATTAATTATTTCTTCTTGTTATGCATGTTGTTAAATAGAAGAGAATTTTACAAATTTTTATCAATGTGACCTTCATTGATGATCATTTAAAGAAGGTGTGGTTTCACATGTTAAAATCAAAGGATCAAGTACTTGATTCCTTAAAGGAATATCGTACGCTGGTAGAACATGAGATTGGACGAAAGATCAAGTGTGTAAGATTTGACAATGGAGGTGAGTTTAGAGGTCTATTTGAAGCATATTGCAAGACATATGGCATTAGGCTAGAGAAGACTCCACCCAAGATGCCACAATTGTATGGGCTAACTGAGAGAATGAATAAAACTATTGAAGAAAGAGTTTAATGCATGCTCTCTCAATATAAGTTACTCAAGTCCTTTTGGGGAGAAGCTGTAATGGTCATAGTTGATATTGTCAAGCTTACATAATCAGTTCCTCTGAATGGTGCCATCCCAGAGGAAGTCTAGACAAACAAAAGGGTTTCATATAATCATCTCAAGGTCTTCACATGTAGGACATTTGTACACATCCCAAAAAATGAGCGAGCTAAGCTTGATGCAAAGATAAAAGAGTGTGACAAATGGCACACAAGCTACCCAAACAATTAAGGGCACAAATGTCTAGTAAGATCATTATTGAACCACAATTTTTTACATGTTCATTTGGATCCTATTCAACCCCAGAAAGAATAGTAAGTGAGAATTAAGTCTAGCTCAGCACTTAATTCTATGGGAAATGAAATTGAATTATCTTGAGATATAGTTAGTGCAAGGCATGAATGTTGGGTGTATACGTGCATTACTAGAGTTTTCTATATTTAATTTGATGCTCCCCAATTGTTGTGATTTTAAGTTATAACGCAGCAATTAAATAAAGTTTATAGCCGGCCGGCCCTGTAGGTTTGAAGACCTAGGAGCGAAAAAATAAAATAGA